TTTATTATAATTCCAATAAATTATAAAGATCATCTAAGATTTTCTTAAACTTCTTCAAATAGGCAACTATATTGTTCTATGTGTATTTCCTAATTTCATCAAATTGAACAAAAGAATCAAGTATTTATAAGATTTGATAGTTCTAGAGTTAATTAATTTTATCTTCTAATCCACAAAACTTATAAGATAAACTAGAAGTAAGTTTATCAAAAGATTTAATTTTAAAACTAAATTAATCTTAACATTCTGATATTAGATCCTTTTGCCAAAAAGAAAAGAAACATATCCAACATTTCAGTGAAGATGTTCATGGCATTCATGAATTAATAAAATTTGTATCTTAGAAATCAAAATACCCAACAAGGCAAAAAACTCTGTTTTCTTAACAATAGGCTTGTTTACACCAAAATAAAGCAGGTTCTTCAGGGTGATCCTTACATTGAAAATCCTATTTCTATTAAAAATTAACAATTTTATTTCATAATTAAATTATTAAACAATTACTAAATTAATTCTCAATTTAAATTAAGAAAAGAATAATAACAAACAAATATTAAGAAAATGTTTCATATTTAATAAGATAATATATTTTTAATGAATCAGAAGTAAAAATACTTATTGATGAGTCAATTTATTAGAATTAATATGAATATTTTTTTGATTATAATACAAATATTGGGAAATATTATAGAGATTCTTATTGGAAAAAGGAACAAATTATTCTTTAATTATTTTTAAATTCTTAAAGGATTATACTAATGTCTTTTTATTCCATTAATCTAATTCTAAAAAATTATGATCATAGAAAATCAAAAAAATCTTAAAAAAATGAATCATCAAATATTCAATAATAAAAATTTTTATCAATTGAACATGTTTTTTTATTGACCACTAATTAAAAGTAAAATATTCAGATTCAATTTTTCAACCTATCCATAACTCAAGTACAAAAATACATTTTATCCAGTAATGAAACGGTGATTCTTTTTTATTCATTATATGAAATTATTTCAGGTTAATTTTTACTAAATGATTTTTCGAGGCAACATTAGAGGGTGCATATTAATTTTGCCAATTGACATTAATTTTAAATATAATTCAAAATTGAAAGAGATTTTCTTTAGGATTTCCCTTAATTCAAAATTCTATCTTAAATCAAGCTTGATAAAAAAACAACTAAGGAGATTTCACTTAATTATTATCAAATTTGATTAATATCCAACCTGCTTAATTAAATCCTTAAACTTAGAATTGAAATTATTTATATTTCTTAATAATAGACCTCAAATAGTAGTAAAAATATTATATTATGAGAAGTTAATTTAATTTATTGACTCTGCAGAATATTGAAGGGCATCATATTAAAAAATTAGATTTAGAAGAATGAATCGATATTTTATAATTGATCTTGAATCTTTGGACATTAATTATCATATAATCCTTATTTTACTTAAAGAAAGCTAGTGAGTATTATATCTAAAAGTCATTAATTTCAAGACAATAGATTTCTCAGAATATTCTTTTATAAAAAATCTTTTATTTATCCAATACTGTTATCTATTAAACTATATATTTCTATCATTATCTTTTATTTTATTAAATGATGCCTTAATTGAATTATTAACACAGTTTGTAAAATAATATGTTTTTATTATTCTCATTTTTATAATTTATTTCATTTTGTTGTTTAGATACTTTTCATTAGATTTGAGTTCAAATAAATATAAGGTCTTTTAAACTATACTCAATTCCCACACATTGAATTTGATTTAAATTATATGTTTAACAATTTTATAACTTTTTAAAAGATTGATAAATCTACGTTAAGAATATAAAAATTATTTAACAATAGGATGCCATAATAATTATTAAAATTAAAGATTAATTTAATTAACTAAGCATAGAAATTGGTTGATTTGATTAGGTTATTTTTTATTGAGATGTAATTTAAAGAAGATCAATTTATTGATTATGGTGAATATTATCACATAAACACAAACGACACTATTTATAACGGATGAAACTAAGATAAACTATTTATTAATGATTTAAAATATGTCAGATGAAAGACTAATTTAAAGGATATAGAAAATCTTATGTAAGAGTGAAAACTGAAAATTGATTTTAATTATGTAGGAGAGTTCCAAAATTACTTGAAAAGATAATTGTAAAATACAATTAAAAGTTCTTAGATTTGGGGCTAATGACAGAAAATTTGTGAAAAAAGTAATTTATTCTTTATATTTAGTACTAAAAAATAAGGGTAATCTTGAAGGATTCAGTTAAATTCAAAGAAAATCATTTTAATTTAGAAGTTTATTTCTTATAAAATAGAATATATTTAATTATAAATTATTAAATTGGATGATAGAGTATTCTATACTATAATTGAGTTTGCATATTTATTGCAATTTGATAGCTTAATGGATTTGTAATCAGATAAATTAAGTTGAAATTTTAAATGGAGCTATGAAAAATAATTAAAAGTAAAGAATGCATCTAGGGACTTAGAAATATTTGATTACTAAAGAAGGTAAAGACTTTTTACTTTCTGAAAAGAGACAGTATTGAATTTAATTAAAGTAAATTATATCTAAGTTTCAGAAAAGAAAAATAGAAAAAGTCTTATTCCTGCTGTAATTATTATTCATATAATAATCAAAAGC